CCTCAAAGGCGTCAAGGGAGTCGGTGGACGCCGCCCAGAGGAACTCCGCCCGGATATGTGAATGTACTGAGGATCGGAAAAAGGCCCTACAACCGCAGGACGCTTCATGGGCCAACCTCCCCTCTCTGGTTTTATAAATGGCTGTTTTAGCCAAGGCTAGGAGGAGGTTAACCAGAAGGTCCCGTGACTTTGTGGGGCCACGGATGGGGAGTGTATAGATAAAAAGGTGAGGGGAGAAATGAAGCCAAAAGCGCAATAGAATATTTGTGAGGAGCCAGAAAAGGGGCTGCAATCTGGCACACTCTAAATATACGTGCGCCAGGGTTTCCCTCACATTACAGAAAGGACAAGTGTCCGGGATGGGGGTAAACCGTGTCAAAAACACGCCCGTGCTCACAGCTCCGTGAAGGAGCCGCCAACTGATGTCCCTGACGGGCCTTGGGACCAAGGTGGAATACAGGCCGGCCCACCGAGGTTGCTCACCCTCCCAGGGTGGCAGGAGGTCCCGCCACTTTGTATCGGGGCGGGACACCAGGGTGTGGGCGTGAAGGGTGTGAAGCGTAAGTGTATATAAGTATTTCCGTGGTGCGATTTGAAAACTGACCGGCTGCAGTTCATGCAGCCGGCTTGCAGTGAAAGGGTGAGGGGTTTGTTGGGATCGGCACGGTAGGGGCCCAATGGAAAGGTCTGGCGGGCCTGGGGTAGAGGATGGGCGGGGTGCGCCCTCGTGCAAGGCCAGGTTGACATAAGCCCGAGCAGCGGGGGTCAAGGCGGCCTTCACCTCCTGAAGCACGCGCCGGGGGGTTCAGAGGCTGGAGAGCCCCATGCGCCGAGCGAGCGTCAGGGGATCCAGCCAGTCTCTTCGGTCGTAGTCCAGGAGGTCTCCGACCCTCGTGACTTCCGCCAGGACCAACCTCTGGCGCACCGAGCGGGACTCCGCCACCTGCACACGGAGCTGGGGGTTGTGTAGCAGGGGCTCTGTGAGGAGATCTGCTCCCACGGTGGCCGCCACGGACCTGGTTGTTAGAAACAGTTTCCAGGTCCGGAGGAGGTCCTGGTAGAAGACCGGCAGCCCAGAGAGGTCTCGCGGAAAACCTCTCGGTGAAAGATAAAAGAGCTGCCGGTCATATCGAAACCCTTGGAAACGGCGTAGGAAGGCGTGCGCCAGTCTGTTCCACGCCGAACTACATGCACTATAAAAGAGTCTCTGCAGGGCCTGGAGGCGGAAAACGCGGACCTGAGTGTACAGACACTTCTCTAGAATCAATCTCCGGAGGTGGGTCAGGAAACCCGGGGCCGGGGCCAGGGTGTTGAGCCGGTACCAGAGCGTGGACAGGACTAGTTGGTTAAGCACCAGTGCTCTCCCTCGGAGGGAGAGACATCGGAGTAGCCTCGTCCATCTCCGGATCCGCTCTATCACCCCGCCCTCTAAATTTTGCCAGTTCTCTGGCGGGGAAGGATGCGTGGCGGAAAGGTAAACGCCGAGATAGAGCAGTGGACCCGCACTCCACCGGATGGTCTGAAGTGCGGGTGGGAGGGAGCTTACCTGCCGCCAGTCCCCCACCGCCAAGCCAGAGCTCTTGACCCAGTTGACTCGGGCGGAGGAGGCTGCCGAATAGATGGCTTGGCATGCCTCCACTCGCGCCAAGTCGCCCGGGTCCTGGACCACGAGGAGTACGTCATCGGCGTACGCCGACAGGACCAGCCGCAGCTCCGGCTCCCACAGCACCAACCCTGTCATCCTCCTGCGGAGGAGACAGAGGAAAGGCTCGATCGCCAGAGCGTACAACTGGCCCGAGAGGGGGCACCCCTGCCGCACTCCTCGCCCGAAGCTGACCGGTTCAGTCAGGGTCCAGTTGAGCCTAACCAAACACTCCGCGGAGGCATACAGCACCCGGAGAAAACTCACAAACTGAGGTCCGAGTCCAAACGCCTGCAGAGTGCTCAGGAGGTACCCATGGTCTACTCTATCAAACGCCTTCTCCTGATCAAGAGACAGGAGAGCGAATGACAGACCATCTCTCCACCCGAGTTCCAAAAGGTCTCGGACTAGAAAGAGGTTGTCGAAAATGCTGCGACCCGGGACAGTATAGGTCTGGTCTGGGTGGATCACGTCCGCCATCACGGACCCTAGCCGCAGCGAGATTGCTTTCGCTACGATTTTGTAATCCGTGCTAAGGTGTGAGACGGGACGCCAGTTTCGTAAATCGCGGAGGTCCCCCTTCTTCGGCAGCAAGGCGAGCACCGTTCGTCTGCACGACAGAGGGAGGACCCCGCTCTGCAAGGACTCAGCCCAGACAGTGACTAGGTCTCGGCCGAGGATGTCCCAAAACGCGCGGTAAAACTCCACGGTCAGCCCGTCCACGCCCGGAGATTTATTGGTGGGCATGCGACGGAGGGCTTCCGAGAACTCGGCCAGGGTGAGAGGCAGCTCTAGTCGGTCTCGGTCGCCCACGCTGACCGTGGGGAGTTCCTCCCAGAGCACCTCACAAGCGTCAGGATCGGTCGGATCCGGGGAGAAAAGACTTGTGTAGAAGTCACGGGCTCTCCCACACATCTCCTCCGGATCCGTGAGGGGGGTGCCGTCTTCCGCAAGAAGGCAGGTGATGTGTTTCTTGGCCCCCCTCATTTTCTCCAGGGCACAGAAGAAGCGGGAGCCGCGGTCCATCTCCCGAAGGAGGCGGATGCGGGACAGAACGAAGGCATCTCGGGCCCGGTGGTCCTCGAGGGCCCGGAGCTCCTCCCGCTTCTCCCGGCACGCTCCTCAGAGGGACGGGTCCTCGGGGTCGGCGGCCAGGCGCCTCTCCATCTCTAAGACCTCCCGTTCCAACTGCTCTATCGCCGCATTTCTCCGTCGGCTGGTGCCCCGAGTGTAGTCACGGCAGAAGAGCTTGGCGCGCACCTTCCCGAGATCCCACCATCGCCGCACCGAGGGAAAGGCACGCCACTGCTCTCGCCAGGCCAGCCAAAACTACCGGAAGGACGTCACGAAGCTCTCGTCCTCCAACAAGCTGTTGTTAAAGTGCCAATAGGCCGGCCCCAGTCTCTCTGCACGGAGGGAGACCGTTACAGTGACTAAATGATGGTCGGAGAATGGGGCCGGCCGAATGGCGGAGGAGTGGGCCTGTGAAAGATGGAAACGGGATAAGTCTCTCCTATACCCGATAATATCCTTGCCCCACCCTCCTCCATGGGCTCTGTTGGGTTGGTACTAGCAAGGGTGGAACTCCCTTGCTCGCCCGGGCGTTGTAGGGAAGGTATCTCCTGGGCCCGGACGGGAGCAGCAATGGGTCGAGTAGGAGGAGGGTTGGTTTCAGGTGCCGGGCAGCCAGGGGCGTCGGCAGCAACGGGGCCAATGTCCTGCCGGGTCTCGGGGGTTTCGGGGGCCCCTCCCCCCCGGGCCAAAGGGCAGTCTCTGCGGACATGCCCCGCCGAACGGCAGAGGTAGCACCGGGCCTCTCCGGTAGAATAAAAGACCCGATAGCGGGCTCCCTGGTAGGGGACTAGAAAGGACCCCTCAAGCGCCTCTTCGTCACGCGCCCCTGCCGGTGGTAGAAGCTGCACTTGCCGGCGGAATGAAAAAATGTGACGGAGGGTGGGGTCCTTGCAGCCCAACGGGAGAGGGCTGATGACAGAGACAAGTTTCCCCAGGGTGGAAAGAGCGAGTAACAGGGCAGCATTGGGTAAGAAGGGAGGAACGGAGGTAAGGACGAGGCGGACGCCCAGGTCTTCTAACGGTTCTAGGGGGACAAACACCCCCCCCACCGTCAGGCCCCCCTCTACCGCCTCCTGGGCGGCATCCTCCGAGGCTAAGAAGAAAACAACCTTCCCATACATCTTGGAGGCCAGCACAATAGCCGTGGGTCCTACCACCTTCGCCAACGCCTGCACGTATGTCTCCACGTGGGGCGAGGCGGGCACCAGGAGGCAACGGACGCCGTGCTTCCTGGTCAAGGCGGGGAAAGGGCCTCGGCCGCTGGTGATGGTGGCGGAGGCGGGGGGGGGCGAGATGACGAGGCGGCAGGTAGGGGAGAGCCCGCCGCCGCCCGAGCATACATCCTGGGGGCCGGGGGAGGGGCAATCGCAGAGCTGGTGGAGGGAAACACAGGGAGGGGCGCCACGGTTGATGACGAGGCCGCAGCGGTGGGGGCAGCCCCTGCCATGGAGGGCTCAGTGATTTTAGCGGGGCCCTTTCCTTTCCACCCGCCCTGGCCCTTCCGGCGAACCGGGGGGGGTTTCCTAGAATCTGGGTGGGCGGTGGGTGCAGCAGCAGCCACCCTGGTGCCTCCTGCTACCGGTGCCCCAGCAGGGGGGGTGGCAAGTATCTTTGCAATAGTGGCAGGGGGGGGACCTTGGGGGTCGGGCAGGGGTGGTGGTGGGGAAGGGACAACTAATTTTGTGGAAGCAATCTCACCCCTCTCATTCCCCGCCATTGTGAGCAGGGAAAGACAGGGAGGCACCGGAAGGAGGAGGGGGGAGGGGAGAAAATGGAATAGCCCCTCCTTCCGCTAGGCTGCGGACAGGAAGAGAAGGAATGCCGAGGGGGGGGGGACTGGGAGGAGGGGGGGGGGAACAAAATCGGGGTCCAGTAATAGGGGTAAGCTGTAGAATAAGCAATCCGGGGGGGGGGTGCAGACCCACACACGTTTGTCCAAAGAGTCTCGGTTGGTCGGCTGTTGTGTCCGGTCCGGAAGGCAAAGTTCAAAGCGAACAGCTGGATCCGAAAGGAGATGGCAGATTGCCAGCAGGGACAGACGGCGGGGGGGCCGTGACAGTTGTAATAACGATGGGGGGTAGGGGCACCGATGGATCGGGGGTGGGGGTCTCCACGCCACACCCCCTGTGCCACCACAAACGCAAGTAATCACAGTCAAACTCCCCCCCACGAGAGTATAATTCAGAAAGTTACTCAATCTTACGGCCCTCTTCACGATGATTTATAGCTCCCTTGAATTATTTCTTCTGTCTGCTGAAATCTCCTTCTCCGGCTGTGTTGGCTGTGTTCCAAGGCCTTCGGCATGTTAAGAATGTTGTAAAGTCCGAGCTGCTGGCAAGACGGCTGGGTCTGGGGGTTTCCACTCCCCCCTCCGGACAGCAAATCGGCAATCTTCCCCCCCCTCCTCCGGGGGCTCAGTTGGGGCAAGTAGCTGCGCCCGAAAGCAGGCGTGGGGGGGGGCGGGTGCTGGCGAAGGACGTAGACGGAAAAAAACCACAAAAAATGAAAAAAAAACCAAAAAAGCGTTTGGCCCGGTCGGAGGGGGACTAAGGCAGGTGCAAAAAGTAAGAAAAATCCGGGCCAGGGGGCTTTAGGAAAGAATAGAAAGCAGATAGCTGAGGAGCAAGCAAAAGACGTTCCGTTTCCCAACAGGGAAGGTTCCAGAACAATCAGGAACCTTCTGGAGACAATTAAGACAGACAGGCTGATTAGAACACCTGCAGCCAATCAAGAAGCTGCTAGAATCAATTAAGGCAGGCTAATCAGGGCACCTGGGTTTAAAAAGGAGCTCACTTCAGTTTGTGGTGCACTTGCAGGAGCTGGGAACAAGAGGCGTGAGGAGCTGAGAGTGAGAACGCGGACTGTTGGAGGACTGAGGAGTACAAGCATTATCAGACACCAGGAGGAAGGTCCTATGGTGAGGATAAAGAAGGTGTTGGGAGGAGGCCATGGGGAAGTAACCCAGGGAGTTGTAGCTGTCGCGCAGCTGTTCCAGGAGGCACTCTAGACAGCTGCATTCCACAGGGCCTTGGGCTGGAACCCGGAGTAGAGGGCGGGCCCTGGTTCCCCCCAAACCTCCCAACTCCTGGTCAGACACAGGAGGAGTTGACCTAGACTGTGGGTTCACGAAAATGGCCAAACTGAGGGCTGCCGTGAAGCTCCAAGGCGAGCAAATCCGCCAATAAGCGCAAGACCCACCAAGGTAGAGGAGGAAGTTTGTCACAAAGGTTAAAGCAAGCAAATTTATATACACAAATGACTTACAGTCTGTGGTTTTAAAAGGTGACACAGTTGTAGTAATCTGTCAGATATAAATGTCTTTTAGGGATCTCTGCTTCCATTTCATAGCTCTGGCCATGTGAGAGTCCAAACAGCAAAGAGATCAAAAATTTTCTTGTCAGATATTTTTTTCTTTCTTCCAGTATTCAAATTGATGGAACAAGCCCTTCAGCACTAGCCTCTTAATGGTTTGAAGGGCCAATTACCAAAAGTCTTTGTATTGTGATGTCTCACAATAGCCCATTTAATTTTGATAGCCTTCTTGGTGAGCAGGAGATGATTCCTCCTGAAAGGTTCACAGTTTCAGAGCAAACATTTTTCACAGTTATAAAGCAAAAACTTAAATATTACCTCATAGCATATAATTAAGATATCATAAGTGAGATTAATGCATGCAGCAACTTACAAGCATTTCATAAAATCTGAAAACTAAACACACTGGTATACATAAAATGCTAATCTTATCCATGCTAACACACAGGTGAAAGGTTGGATTCCAGCAGTGAATTTATCAGAGCTTGGCTGAGGCCTAAAACCTTGGCAAGAGCCGGCATGTGGCTTGCCAGTATCAGACCAACTTTCCCTGAATAAGAGGGTGGAAAGCTGAAATCCCAGCCAAATGAACTCTCAAGAAGCCAAGAGCCAGGCCCAAAGACTTCAAATGCAGCCAGTAGTCCAGAAATTCTGAATTTAGACTATCATAGAATGAATTCTCTTTGAGGTAGCCCAAATCAAAAACCTCTTCTACCTAAGACAAATAGGTGGCACTCGTAGATGATTTTCTACTAATAAGCAGAACTTCTTTAACTGCTTCTGAGCACAGAGTTTTCTCCTTATCCAGCAATGCAACATCCTTGCGGAAAGGTGTAGACTGTCCAGCACTGAATGAACAACCTGGCCATGATGCTGAGTTAACAACACATGGAGAAGAGGAAGAGACTTGGGAGGTCAAACCTACAGTGCACGGCTGGAGAATCAACATTGTTTTGGCCAGGCTGGGGCAATCAGGATCAGCTTGGTATGGTCCAATTTGATTTTGAGGATAACCTGAGGGATTAGAGGGATAGGGAGAAAAAGCATACTTCAGACTTGGACCCCAATTCAGATGAAATGCAGTGAGGGATCTCAGACTGAACCCTGCTCGCGAACTGAACTGATGACATTTCCTTACGTTCTTTGTCATGAACAGGTTGATGAAAGGGACCTATTCTTCAAAGAGGGCCCTGAGCACACTGTTCTTTAGCGATCACTCGTGACTGTCCGAGAAGGTACTGCTGAGGTGATCAGCCAGCTGATTCTGAGACCCTGGTAGGTGAGCTGCTACCAGCATGATATTTTCTTTTACGCTTGTTGACATTGTATATCACAATGGTATTATTCATGAGTATGTGCACCATTGTTCCCTGGATGTGATCCAGAAAGGACTGGCACATGTTATATATTGCCTGAAGCTCCAGTACTCTGATATGACAGGATGCTTCCTGTTCCAGTCACAATCCCTGAATTGTTAGCGATCCCAGATGCACTCTCCAGCCTATGGAAAAGGCATTGGTGACCAACATTCTTATAGGTGTGGGTCAGACAGAGTGAATCCACTGGCACATATTGTCCTGAATTGTCCTTCACTGCAGGGAGTTTAGTATTTCCTGAGGTACTCACACAAGAACATCTATTGAGTGGTAACTTGAACGCTGGACTAGCTTCAACAATTGCTGGAGAGTGTAGGATGCAATTGGAGATCCAGTCACAGATGCTGAATTTTACAGAATCATTTGCACAGGAGAAAGGCCATCAAATTTGTAAAGTCTGGTAGGGCCCAAATTAACTCGATTTTTTGGAAGGGTTCAGTGCTGATTTCTTTTTGTTCAGGATCAGCCTCAGCAGATCGAAAAGATCCAGCATGAATGGAATGTGACTGAGGACTTTCTTCTCAGACTTTCCTCTTACTAGCCAGTCATCCAACTATGGGAAGACATGAATTCCATTCCTCCGGAGATGGGCAACTACCATCATCATGCATTTGGTAAAAACACACAGAGGCAATGACAGGGCAAAGGGGAGAACCGTGTATTGCCAATGACAATTGCCAACTAGGAATCTCAAGAACTTCCTGTGGCCCAGAAAGATCAACATATGAAAATAAGTGTCTTGTAGATCAAGAGCAGCAAACCAATTGCTACAATCCACACCGGAAGGAATAGTAGCCAGAGCAACCATGCATAACCTGATATGTTTGATGTATCAATTATCCCCATATTGACTGGGTACATGTCACCTCAGGAAGAAATGCAGAGACAAAATTTCTCGATACTTTAAATAACTGCTTCTTGGAGCAGCTGGTACAGGAACCTACAAGGGGAGAGGCAACTCTTGATCTAGTTCTGAGTGGAGCGCAGGATCTGGTCCAGGAGGTAACTATAACAGGACCGCTTGGAAATAGTGACCATAATATAACATTTAACATTCCTGTGGTGGGAAGAACACCTCAACAGCCCAACACTGTGGCATTTAATTTCAGATAGGGGAACTATGCAAAAATGAGGAGGTTAGTTAAACAGAAATTAAAAGGTACAGTGACTAGAATGAAATCCTGCAAGCTGCACAGACACTTTTCAAAGACATCATAATAGAGGCTCAACTTAAATGTATACCCCAAATTAAAAAACACAGTAAAAGAACTAAAAAAGAGCCACCGTGGCTTAACAACCACGTAAAAGAAGCAGTGAGAAATAAAAAGATATCTCTTAAAAATTGGAGGTCAAATCCAAGTGAGGCAAATAGAAGGGAGCATAAACACTTCCAAATTAAATGTAAAAATGTAATAAGAAAAGCCAAAAAGGAGTTGGAAGAACAGCTAGCCAAAAACTCAAAAGGTAATAAAATGTTTTTTTTAAGTACATCAGAAGTAGGGAGCCTGCTAAACAACCAATGGGGCCCCTGGATGATCAAGATACAAAAGGAGCACTTAAAGACAATAAAGTCATCGCAGAGAAACTAAATGAATTCTTTGCTTCAGTTTTCACGGCTGAGAATGTTAGGGAGATTTCCAAACCTGGGCCATCTTTTGTAGGTGACAAATCTGAGGAATTGTCACAGATTGAAGTGTCACTAGAGGAGGTTTTGGAATTAATTGAGAAACTTAACAGTAACTAGTCACCGTGATCAGATGGCATTCACCCAAGAGTTCTGAAAGAACTCAAATGTGAAACTGCGGAACTAATAACTATGGTTTGTAATCTGTCCTTTAAATCAGCTACTGTACCCAATGACTGGAAGATAGCTAATGTAACACCAATATTTAAGAAGGGCTCTAGAGGTGATCCTGGCAATTACAGACCGGTAAGTCTAATGTCAGTACCGGGCAAATTAGTTGAAACAATAGTAAAGAATTGTCAGACATACAGAAGAACATAAATTGTTTCGCAAAAATCAACATGGTTTCTGTAAAGGGAGATCATGTCTTACTAATCTATTAGAGTTCTTTGAGGGGGTCAACAAACATGTGGACAAGGGGGATCCAGTGGACATAGTGTACTTAGATTTCCAGAAAGCCTTTGACAAGGTCCCTCACCAAAGGCTCTTACGTAAATTAAGTTGCCCTGGGATAAGAGGGAAGATCCTCTCATGGATTGAGAACTGGTTAAAAGACAGAGAACAAATGGTAGGAATAAATGGTAAATTTTCAGAATGGAGAGGGGTAACTAGTGGTGTTCCCTCAGGGTCAGTCCTAGGACCAATCCTATTCAACTTACTCATAAATGATCTGGAGAAAGGGGTAAACAGTGAGGTGGCAAAGTTTGCAGATGACACTAAACTGCTCAAGATAGTTAAGACCAAAGCAGACTGTGAAGAACTTCAAGAAGATCTCACAAAACTAAGTCATTGGGAATTAAATTTAATGTGGATAAATGTAAAGTAATGAACATTGGAAAAAATAACCCCAACTATACATACAATATGATGGGGGCTAATTTAGCTACAACTAATCAAGAGAAAGATCTTGGAGTCATCGTGGATAGTTCTCTGAAGACGTCCATGCAGTGTGCAGCGGCAGTCAAAAAAGCAAACAGGATGTTAGGAATCATTAAAAAAGGGATAGAGAATAAGACAAAGAATATCTTATTGCACTTATATAAATCCATGGCACGCACACATCTTGAATACTGCGTACAGATGTGGGCCCTCATCTCAAAAAAGATATACTGGCATTAGAAAAGGTTCAGAAAAGGGCAACTAAAATTATTAGGGGTTTGGAACGGGTCCCATATGAGGGGAGATCAAAGAGGCTAGGACTTTTCAGCTTGGAAAAGAGGAGACTAAGGGGGATATGATAGAGGTATATAAAATCATGAGTGGTGTGGAGAAAGTGAATAAGGAAAAGTTATTTACTTGTTCCCATAATTTAAGAACTAGAAGCCACCAAATGAAATTAATGGGAAGCAGGTTTAAAATAAATAACAGGAAGTTCTTCTTCACCCAGCGCACAGTCAACCTGTGGAACTCCTTGCCTGAGAAGGTTGTGAAGGCTAGGACTATAACAGGGTTTAAACGAGAACTGGATAAATTCATGGAGGTTAAGTCTATTAATGGCTATTAGCCAGGATGGGTAAGGAATGGTGTCCCTAGCCTCTGTTTGTCAGAGGGTGGAGATGGATGGCAGGAGAGAGATCACTTGATCATTACCTGTTAGGTTCACTCCCTCTGGGGCACCTGGCATTGGCCACTGTCGGTAGACAGGATACTAGGCTGGATGGACCTTTGGTCTGACCCAGTATGGCCGTTATGTTCTTATCTGTAGAGATTGCGGAGACTGAGGATAGGTCTCACTCCTCCCTTGGACTTGCAGATTAGGAAATATCGGGAATAGGCTCCTCATTCATCACACTGATTAGGGACCTCCTCTATAGCTCCCAGGGCACACAGAGAACTTGCTGAAAAGCAATTACTTGTGAGAAAGGTCCTTGAAAAGGGATGAGATAGGAGGGTTGGAATGGGGAATGGATATAAATTGTATGGTGTAACACAAATATAGTGTCTTGGATCCATTTGTCCATGTTATTATTTCCCAGGCACTGTAGAAGTGGGCCAGCCTGTCCCCAAACTGAGGTGATGTGATTAGGATGTTTACAACTGGTCTGCTGGTCCTAACATGCTAGTCAAATAGGCTGTCTGCCCAGTGATGGAAGAGGATGGAGTGGCTGAGTAAAACTAGACCCTGAAGACTGCCTCTTGTGAGATCTATTCCTTTCCTGGGGCAGTTTGCCTTGGTTGGTAAGGTGTCTGTCTAAAATATCGCTGGGTAACAGTATTTCTGCTGTTGTTGCCCAGTAAATTGGCAACTTTTTGAGGCTTTGGCATAAATTTCCGAAGAGCACATTTGTTGCACTCAAGTCTTTAAAACGAACGCAAGGTCCTTTACACTTTGTTGTACATCTGGAGACAATGATGAATTATGCAACCACAATGCTTTTCTCATCATGATTGCTGTAGCCACAACTTTGGAGGCTGTGTCAGATAAGTCTAGGGCTGACTGCAATGATGTCTTGGACACCAGACTGTCCTCCATTACAAATGCCTTGAAGTCCTCCCTAGAAGAATTGGGCAATCGCTCCATGAATTTTGTCGAAGTCCCAATTTACAAAGTTATATCTTGAGAACAATGCCTGTTGATTTGTGATTTCCATTTGTAAGAAGGTCAAATAAACTTTTCTGTCTATGAGATCCAACTTCTTTGCCTCTTTGTCTTTGGGAGTGGATTTGCTTTCTCTTGACAGGATTTCTCACTGGCTGCTGACTAGTACCATGGCTGCTCGAGCACCCGTGAGGGAGCTGGACCTTTGACCCATTCCTTGGTATTGAGACAACATCGAAAGGCCGCCTCTGAGTCCTGCTGAGGAACACTGGCACTCTGAGGCTCCAACGATGGCTGAGGGGCTGGTCTCATCCCTGGTGCTGTTTGAGTCTCAAATCCCTCGCTACCTGTGTCCTTTTCTTGAAGGACTTACAGATAGAGCACTTGTCCTTAATGTGCCTCTCTCTCAGGCACAACAAACACTGCATATGGGGATCATTATGTGGAATAGTCCCTTCACCCCACCGCCCACGATGGGCAATGTTCAAATCCTGGGGAAGGCATTCCACCAGGAAACAACAGCTAAGTAACCTCACTAACTAACCTAAGGTACTACTAATAAACCACTAACTAATCCTTTAGAAGAAGTTTTCAATAATTGAGAGAAACAAAGGGCAGTGTGAAGAAACACTACCCAGAGCACTCCAACTCTAGCTGCGAGCAGTGCAAAGGAACTGAGAGGGGCTGGGGCAGCAACACTGTTATATAGCCAGGGGAGGCATTATGAGGCAAAGGGCACAAGTGCTGCCTCTACTGGTACTGCTAAGCATTTTTCTCTGGCTTTGGTGGTCTGGGAGTGCACACATGTGTGTGAATGCATGGCTGCAAGAAACAAATGACGTAAGTAGTGCACTCCATGGTGTATGAGTATACTGAGCTCCTAAGGTATGTATCAGACAAGGAGTATAGCATAAGGTGCTGATATTGGCCAAAACACTTCATACTCCTGTTAACTGTTCACAAATACATCAAGGATCAAGGGAATGAAAGTAATGGGGCTTTTACCCCACAAAACAGTCAAAGAATTTATATTGCAAAGAAAACATTAAACAGATACCTACCGTAAGTGCAAATCATTTTACTAGCTTCTCTGAAGAGAAGAATTCCATTAGGAGACGATACATCAAAATTTAAACGCTGTGACCTAAAAAATAACGGCAAAAATATTCACATCATTACAGTGGGAAAAAATTAGCAATGTGCTCATTCCTAAAAACAAACAAAAAACTGGTGGTAATGCTGCTGAAAAGGATCTGGGGGTTATAGTGGATCACAAATTGAACAGGAGTCAAGAATGTGATGCAGTTGGGAAAAGGCTAATATTCTTAGTGGTATTGACAAGAATGTTGTATGTAAGACATGGGAGGTAATGCTTTACTTGGTGCTGGTGAGGCCTCAATTGGAGTACTGTGTCCAACTCTGGGCACGACAATTTAGGAAAGATGTGGATAAATTGTAGAGAGTCCCAAGGAGAGCAACAATAATGACAACAGGTTTAGGAAACCAGACCTATGACGAAAGGTTAAAAAATCTGGGTGTGATTAATCTTGAGAAAAAGAAAACTTAAGAGGAGACCTGGTAACAGTCTTCAAATATGTTAAAGGCTGCTCTAAAGATGAGATGGATCTATTCTCCATGTCCACTGGAGGTAGG